CCCCGCGCCGACCAGCCCTGCCCCCGCGCTGCGCCAGCAGCCCGCGCCCATTGGCTGGCCGACCCGCCGATCACCGCCCCTCCTCCTTACCGCCCCTGCCCGCTGGCCGCCGAACGCCGCCGGCGCGGGACATTCTGGGACTTGTAGTCCGAGCTATCGGTCACCTGCCAGCCGCAGACGGCGGGGGACTACGATGCCCAGAAGTCCTCGCGGCCCCGCCCGCCCACCCGGACACCCCACCCCTTCCCCCTCCTTTGCAAAGCCCCCCTCCCTGTTTTTTCAGCCCCCTCCCCCCCATCCCCCATGGAGCTCAATCCCGGCCAACTCCAACGTATGCACGCAGCACCGAATAGGCCCCCGGGGGGCGCCAGCGCCCCCCGCACCCAGCTGCAAACTTAGCACGCGACGCGCCCCCCTCTCTCCCCACGCCGGTTCCCCCCACCCTCAGTGCAGCCCCGCTTCCCCTCCCCCGCTCCCTGCGCGCCCCGAAAAGCCATGCACCCTGGTTGCGGGGGGGCTGGCACACAAGCCCATGCACTTCGCCCCCGATCGCCCCTCCCGGGCGGCGCCCCCTCCCTGCGCCCGGGATCCCGAGCGCCTCCAGCCCCCGGGCAGCTGGCAGCCACCCCCTCCTCGGAAACTTGGGGACGGTCCCCGGATCTCCCCTCCGCAGAGGGCAGGGTGGGCGCAGCGCCTCCGGCCCGTCCCCGCCTGCACCCGGTCCCCGGGGCCGCGCCGGGCACCCACTTACCTCGCGGGGCCGGGCCGGGGCGCGCGGGGCCGAGGCCCGCGGTGGGGACTGGGCTCCGGGCCGCTGGCCTCCGGGGTCCGGGCGCTCGCTCTCGCTCGGCTTCCCCTTGCGCTGCGCCTCGCTCGCTCCAGCGGCGGCGGCGTCACTGCCCCTACAGTAACTGTACAGTACAGCCAAAGCCCCGTATGATGCTCGCGACTCCCTTCCTGGTTTCTCCGAGGGCAAGAGGGGTCCTCCCTTGTCTTAAAGGTGCCGCAGCCGCCGGCCCCCCCCCACCGCGCCCAGCCCGCCCCCCCGGCCGGCTTGGAGCCTGGAACAGGCTCGGCAGGTCCCCTCTTGCCACGTCTCTGCCCTCCCGTGGGGCTTCGCCCGCTGCTCTGGGGAGCCCGGGCGGTTAGTAGATTTTGTCAAGTTCAAGGGGGGGTCCAGCCCGCCCCCGGCGCACCCCCCCTCCTCTGACCTCTCCGCCCCGCGCCGCGGCGCTGTGCCAGGTAGCCAGCTTATCTGGCCCCAGAGCTGCCCGGGGCACTGGGGGAGCGGGCCCCCCGGGGCGGAGTGGGGGTGGGGGCCTCCAGATAAACAGGCCCCCAGTCTCTGCGGCAGGCGGGGTGCGGGGGGGCGCGGGCTGTGCCCCCGTCGCCCGGGGCGTGGCACGGTGGCAGCGGGGGCGGGGAGGACTGTGCGCACGGAGAGGACGCGCGCGGGCGTGGGGCACGGCGGGCCGGACCGCGGGGGCTAGGGGTGCGGGCGCGGCAGGCCTCAGTTTCCCTAGCCGCACGAGGGAGTCGGGGCGAGCTGTTGAACGACGGCTTGGGCGCGCCTGGGAGCCCTCAGTGCCAGGGCCAACCTGCCCTCCCGCGATTATATAAAGGAGTCGCCTCCACCCGCTGCGCCAGGGGCGTAGCGGGGGAAGGGGTTGGCGAGGGGCGGGGAGGGCGGTTGTTTTCCCGGCTTGGCCAAGTGCCCCTACCCAACTGCGGGCTGCTGGGCAATCCGGCCCCGGACGCCTGGGTTCTGCGGGCCGCTCCCGCCAGGGTCTGCGTGGCTTGGGAGGGGCGGAGGTGGGGAGTGGGGAGGCGTTGGCTCGGCCTAACTTTTTTTGCCTGGCTATTTCTCCCACTTCCTCCCCGGTCGTGGGAGAGGTCCGGCGGGGGACGGGGGAGGAGGAGGAGGGGACTAGTGGTGAGAACCGCCTGCCCGGCGGGGCTGGCCTCCCACTGCACACGGTAGGCGCCCAGGGAGGGTCGGCTGGTATCAACAGCTGCCTTGGGGGCTAAGGGCCTTAGTTTCCCCTTCCTTCTTCCCTCAGACCTAGAGGGCTGGCACTCGCTTTAACTGCCACTTACGGAGCGCTTAGCTGTGGCTGGCTCTGTCCGGGGTCCTGTTTACCTCCATTCTGACGAATTTCATTCTCATCATCATCAACATCGTTATTATTTTACTATTATTATGAGTGTATTCCATTTCCACCTTCCAGAAGAAAAAAATCAAAAACAAAACAAAACTGCCCTTGCGATGGATAAAATTTACCCAGCCTGTCCTTCCCGGACTTCAAAGTCTTCCTTCCCCCCCTTTACTTTATTACCTCCCTGCGCTACGTATTAAAAGCGCCTTTCAAGTCCCAAACGGGTTGTATTGCCTTTTGTCATAATAATTTGGCTTCAAGGGGGGGAGCCCGGAGTGGCCCCCAGAGGGGAAGGGACAGGCCTCAAGCCTCGCAGTGGGAAACCAGCGCGGGTGGGTGGGAAAGGGCTGGGGGAGGGGCCGCTGGTCCAGGGTGAGGGTGGAACCGTGTGGACTTTGGTCTAACGACCCTGCCTGGGCTATAGCCCTTCTTCCTGCAACCACCCGGCCACCAGCCTCACTCGCTGGAGTCCAATGGGAAGCACCTCTGGGCTTGGCTTCCCGCAGATAACAAGCTGGGCCTTAGCCCTAAATGCTCTCGCCTCCAACTGCTTCCAATTTCAGGGCAGCTGGGTGACTCAGTTTCCATTCCTGTACAGCCCAGCCTGGGATAGCGTGCACAAAGGGAGGTACCACATCTCCGCAGCTGATAATCGGATTCAGAAGGGTGATATATATGGATTGACTACCATCAGCTGCCTGGGAGGAAGTTTCCTCCCCTGGCCTTGCCTCAGTTTTCCCTCCCTCCATCTCTGGACAGAGAGAGCTGGCACTGGCTTCCATTCACTGAGCACGTAGCACATGGCTGGCGTCTGAGGTCCTGTTTTCATCCATTCTGACATCCAATCCCATGGTTACTGTGATGATGATGGTGATGATGATGATGGTGATACTGAAAGGTCTAGGGTTCAAACCCGTTCAGTGGTTCTGCAGAAGAAAGACCTGATATCTACTTCCATAAAAATTACAGCCAAGAAAACCCTATGGGGCAGTTTTACTTTGCCAGATGGGGTCTCTATCAATTGGAATTGTTGTGATGCTCATGGTGAAGTGTTGAGAGGTTCCCAGGTAACCAGTGGAAACATACTCATGAGTATCAGAGACACACTGCTTCATGGAGCTGTCAATGGTTCAGGTTTCAGAAGCAGATTGCCAGGACTTTCTTCCAAGGTGCCTCTGGGTGGACTTGGACCATCAACCTTCGGTTAGCAGCTGAGTATGTTCACCATTGATACCCCCCAGGGGCATCTTTTTTTTTTTTTTTTTTTTTT